GCAGCGACGGCGGGGCGGGGCCGGTCCTTTTGGCACCGGTCCCGTCCACTGCCATGGACGGTGGCCGGAGTTTCGAAGAGAGAGAGAGGAGGGAGCTGCTGTCGGGGAGAGAGAGACGCGCGGGGGAGAGAGAGAGACAGACGGGGGCATTTCCGTCCTTTTAACCAAAAATCCAATTTCCAAATATTTACGATTATGCCACTGAGCCTCTTTTGACCATATCTCTCTCGTTACAACTCCGATTCGAGCCCACTACGTGTCTACGGACTCATCTCACCGTGCTCTACGCGACGGTACAACCGGAATTCCCAAATTCCTTCCAAGTAAGAAAATGACTAAAATACCCCTATCCCACGGGTAATTTCTCAATTCCACTTAAATTAATTAAACATGGGATAAATTTGGGGTCGGGGTGTTACATAGAATTTTATGAAAATCACCGTATCGCTGCATCTACAGCTCCTTTTTAAAAAAAAAAGTGAAAATGAAATATCATTTAGTCTCTAGTAGTACTTAAGGGCGGAATCAGATATTTTTCAATTGGTGGGCTAGCTAAAGTTATTAGCTTAAAATCTAATGATAATTTTTTTTTTTGTATTTACCTTTTCTATAGTTTTTCTAAAAATAAAAGTATACATTAAATAATGCTAACGTATTTTTGAGACAGAAAGAAAGAAGAGATAGTTTTAAAGGTGTAGAGTATTTTTATGAGAGCAAATACATGCCATCGGTAATAGACAATCATTTCCGATAGCAATTATGACCCCTCACTAATATACACCATCTCGAGAGAACTAATGATTGCCTTTGGAAGTACATAATCACTTCCGACAACAACTAATTACCCTCGAAAAAAGAAAAATTAATTCCGACGACCACTTATTGCCCTCGGAAATGGGCTATGATCTTCACGCGCATAAGATTTGTCGGAAATAAACGTGGTGCCAACATTTCCAGCCAAATATTAACTATTTCCAACGGCTAGAAAACCATTTTTCAAGAGCATTTTGGGTGCTTGAAATAGTAAGCATTTTCGGTGTCAGATTGTCAATTCTTCTTTCTTTCAAATGCCTTTTGTTTTGTAATATAATCTGGACAGTTTTCTTTCTTTAAAAAAATATTAGTTGATAGTAAAAATGTAAAAGCAATTATCCATTATCATGTAAGTCACAGCCTCTCTCACAAACCCAACTCCCTTGTCGCCGGTTGCACCTGCCAGCGGAGTAACATAAGTCATGGGTTTGGAATGAAGTGAAGGCACTTTGGACAAATGTTCTTAGGGTCGTCGCAGCCACATAGCATACATCACCGCCGGAGTAGGAGTAGGAGTACCTTGACGACTGGCATGAATGACCGACATGTGTACAATGCTTTACCGTTTCATTCACCATCGGTCAACAAATGAAGGATTAGATGGGCGTCACCAATTGGCACCTTCTTATTCTTAAGTTTTAGAAGGTGTTGGTCCCTTTTTTCTCGACACTCTTTGTCTTCTGGGTTGAGTTGCTCTAGAGAGTGGAAAGGCTGTCGGGTCAACACCAATGTCCTGATTGGATTTTTAGCTCGTGAGAGGACTCTTTCAACTTTTTGGACAAAATTGAAAGTTGAATCAGGTTAACAAGAACGGGCAAGCTTAGGCTGGGCCCTAATGACTTGCTTCTCCTGACCTGATTGCTAAATACGTAGGTGTGCCACTATTGGATATAAGACCAGCCCAATAGACCTGGTATACGTGATGTAGGATATCTGTTTGGTGGATTCGCACTTGTTCTGGACTTCTGATCTAGCCATTGTGCTCCAAAGGGGGTACTCACTTAGATGAGTTCTTTTCTATGCCTCAATCAAGAGGACTTCAATATTCTTTCACTCGTGTGTTGCTGGTTTAATAGATACGAACAGTACCTGATTAAACAAGAAGGAAATCAATGTTGTGGTTAATGCTCCCTTATTTGGGTTCAAAAACCTAACTTGGGTCCGAGATGACCGGGTAAAGATTCAGCCAATTCGGGCCCAAGAATGTAGTTAGGACCTGGACAGGCCCTTACTTTCGGACTGATAAAGCCCTATTCGGGCCTAAACCCTTATCTTGGGTCCAAATAACGATAAGCTTAAATTTGCAAGGCGGGAAAATAAATTAATCTACAAGAGTATATAAAGAAACTAAATGGCAGATATTTAATGAGGTAGCTAGAGTAAATTTCATAAAGTAAAGAGGTTTCAAATGTCGGAGATCCCTCTATCCAACTCTGGTACGATAACAAATAAAAATGAAAGCCAAAGATTTCTCCATTTAGCTACTTTTAAATACAAATTACAATATTGAAGAAGCTGGAGATTTCTCTATCTAATTTAAACAGAAGATATGTTTACAGAAATTCAAACCAATTGTTTGAATAAGAATCATACCATAAGGATGGCAAAGTAAGAAAAGATAAATGCAAAAGTGGTCAATTGGTTATCTGAACAGTAAGTAGGTTATTTGAAAAGATCTTGAAGTTCTTTCAAGTGCTTTTGAGACGTTGTGTCTGGTTTTTGGAGAGAGAGTCCCTTTGTGCTGCTGTAGAGCCTCTATATTTATAAGCAAGAATTCCTAATGATGAAGGCTGGAGGAGGATACTTGGCTGCTGTCCAAAGTCAGCTGTTGATCTATCCTTATGAGCCGGTCCATAGGTAGGAGGAAAACCAATCTCAGACAAAACTATTAATGGTGATAATCCCTTTTCAGACCCTCACGTGGGTCAATATGCCACATTTACCTATTTTCTTAACTTTAGCGTGGACCAAAGTTGGGGTCCTTTCGTACTTATGGGCTTTTGGGAGGTTTTCTCCCACTGCTAGCCCAAATCCGAAAAATCCATTTTCGTCATTTCTAAAGGAAAAGGTTGAGCTTGGGTTTAATAAATCTTCTTTGAGAATAAAACCATTTTTGGCCTATTTTCCAAATATGGTACAAACAGAAGGACTTCCTTGTTGAGGTTGGGTTGCAAGTATGTGTCGTCTAGGTTTTCTAAGCTGTCATAGAGTTTGCCTAAACAACCGACCATGCATTTCTTAGAGAGGAGCCTGATCACAGTGCCGACGGGTAGAGACAGAAAAGTGAAAAGAGAGTCAACAAAGTCCTTGCCAGATTCGGCAAAGAGAACTTTGTTATGCTAGCTTTTTGTCGATGAGGAGCTCAAATTAACTGGAGAAGTAGAGATTGATTTGGTTTTGGTTTTGGGTTTGGGTTTGGATGGGGCCATTGAGGCAGAGTGAGATGAAGGACATGCCAACTATTTATTTGTAGACCCAATACCAGGGGGTTAAACGTTTTTTAATTGTCATTTGGATAGACCTTATCTTATATTATTCAATTATCTAGTTTTTTTGGTGGATAGATTATTCAATTATCTTTATGAGAGCCTTCTCAAAAAAGAGACACACAAAAAAAACAAAGTAATTATGAGGGCGCATTTACAGTTATCTAATATATAACATAGCATTCACCAAAAATATATACATAACATAGCATGCCCTCTGGGGGCGTAGCGCAATGGTTAGAAGGACAAGCCGGGTCCAACTGTAAACTCAGAGTTTGAATCTTATTGTTGTTGTGCGAGTTTCTGATTTACCATCACACCTCAAAGGGTTCCTTGATATCAATACAATTTCTTCATTCGAAGGGAAACGAGAAAAGATTGAAATCCGAAATAAGGAAACGTCCAAAATGACATCATAAAGCAATACGAATCTCCTTAGTTCACAAAGCAGAAAACGTTTTAGGCCCCCAGGAACACTTTGGTAAGGACTGCACTGGTCTCGAAGGATGCCTTCAGCAGCTTCAAACCCTACGAAGAGAAAAAATACAAAATGTCAAACAAATAAGCTTTAAATCAAAGCAGGGACGAGGAATTAGTTTGAATGTTGGGTTGCATGATGATTTGGCCTTATTTATTAATCCAACAAGTATATATATATATATATATATAATGAAAGATGAAATCAAAACAGAAAATATATATTAATCCAACAAGAGAACATAACAAGTTGCCCTATATATTATAGAGTAAAAGTATAGAGATTATTAGGAGGAATAATATTCAGACCTCTTGCATCCCAAGATAAACCACCACCTCTTGAAGAGCACCAACATCCTTCACACTGAACCGGTTAAGTACAGCAATACTTGAAATGGTGGACATTGGCTTCACCTCCAAGTTATCCATGACCATGTATGTTACTACTCCCTTGACATACCCTCCCCCGCTGCCGGACTTTGCCACCACCGTAGAAGAAGAAGCTTGTGGGGAAACATAAGTCACCTTAGTGGATATGGAATTGTAACCATTTGGGCAAGGGGTATTACAAACATCGGAAATATGGCGCGGATTGCAGTATGAACACATGTAGAACTGTTTAGAATTCGAGTCGACATTAATATTGTTGGTCAGCTGAGGAAGGATATTGGCACCAACAGCAACTGTGGCCTTTGGTTTCAGCAAGGTATCCTTGTCAAGATTGGGTTGCAAGTATGTGTCATTTAGATTTTCGACACTCTCATAAAGCTTTCCCATGCTACCAACCATGCCGTCTTTGGAGAGGAGCCAGATCACAGTCCCAACAGGAAGAGACAGGAGACTGAAGAGAAAATCAACAACATCCTTGCTCGCTTCGGCAAACAAAACTTTGCAACCCCTTGTGTCGATCAGGAGTTTCAAGCTCACACGTGTGGTGTTGGAGGTTGCCATATTGATGTGCGCAATATGTTTTTTTTTTCTTTTGGATACTATATTGATGCTATGTTGAGGCTTAGGTTACCTATCAATTTATAGTCTTAGAAGAAAATTTACTAAAACATTTCAAATTAATTATTCAGGTCTGTGAAAAAAAAAAATTAAGGGCAAAAGTTAGGGAAGGACTCAAAATACCTCTCCCCTAAACACGTAGTCTACATTTTCATAAAGACAAATTGAGACGAAACCAATTTAGCATATGACACTTATGTCCCTCAAATTTGTCCTCCACCGACCGATAAAGAAGAACCCTTTCCTTTTTATTGGCAAAAAAGAAGAAAAAACCTTTTTTTTTCTTTTTCTCCTTTTCTTTATTACTTTACAATACTTTTTTTTTTTTGGTCTGAACCACGAGGTGGTCCTGGATGGGCTCCAACTATGGATGACACCTTTAAGCCTTAACCACAACCCAGACTAATCCCCGTTCACACCGGGTCGGCCCGTAAGGAGTAAAGTGCTGGCCAAAGTGGTGACTCCATACGAGAGCAGGGATCGAACCCCTGACCTCTCTTAAGGAATGAGAGTGCCGAACCACTTTACAATACTTTTCAGAACAAAGTAACACTACATAGTACATATTCGGTGCTCTTAAGCTTAACAAAATATCCTTAGTTGCCAAGGATCCTCTCGTTCAACAAAATTTCCTTAGTTGCAAAGGATCCACTGGTTTAATAAAATTCCTTATAATTACTTGCTAAGGATTCACTACCAAGCTCTCCCAAACTTTGTCCTGGATTCGAGTCCTATTATGTGTGGGTGAGTTTAGATGAATATCGTCAATTTCAATAGGAGAGACCCTATAGAAAATTCCTTAGTTAAAAACCACTCTTACATTTTATCCATTTTCCTTTAGAAGAAAGTTTATATTCCACTCCAAAATTAACTCGCATTGCAGAAGAAGAGTAGCTCAATTCCTTATAACTTATGCTAGTTCCCTTAACTTTTCAATATGCAACAAAATTCAATAGGGACCACTATTATTATTTAAGTAAATTTCTATTTTTATTTTTGTTTATAAGTAGACTTCTAGTCTAAAATAGGGAAATATTATTGTAGTAGTATTATTATGCTAAACTGTCCATAATATTTCATTTGATCACTATGTTATAGGAGTCATTCTATAGTGAGGGTGTTAGATAACATCCTCAGATGAGACCATATCTCTTAACCATTGGATCAACAATTTGATCCAACAATTAACCAATTCGATTCAATGAGCCTTAGATAAGACCCTCACTAGTGCATGCTATTATAATTGGTACAAGACAATCATGAAATCCTCGAAATTTGAGACTATACATTTCCATCAAGCTTAACAAAATTTCCTTAGTTGCTATGGATCCTCTGGTTTAATAAAATTTCCCTAGTTGCTAAGGATCCACTCGATTAATAAAACTCCTTATAATTAGTTGTTAAGGATCCACTGGTGTAGTGATTTGGAGCCAAGCTCCCCAAAGATGGTCCTAGATTCAAGTCCTAGCATATGTGTGTGTGAGTTCATGTGAATATTGTCCATTTCAGTAGGAGAGGCTCTAAAACAATTTTTCCTTAGTTAAAAACCACTCTTGGATTTTCTCTATTTTCATAGAAAGTTGACGTCTCACTCCAAAATTAACTCGCAATTGAGAAAATTAGTAGCTCAACTCCTTAAAGCATTCCATCGCAAGAGCCCAGTCAAAAGGCCCCCCTAAGCCTCAAAAAGTGATTCCAGCGTAGACGCAAGAGTTGGGGTCCATCAAGCCCAAGTAAGGCCCAAGGTAAGATCAGCTTGAGCTGTTGCCTAAGGGCGCTGACATCAGCGAATAAATTTTATAAAAAAATCGAAAACAATTCTAAAAATTTTCCAAAAAATTCTGAATTTTTTTATTATACATACCTAGCAAATTATTTTCTTATTAATCTCATACAAATAAATAAAATTAGTCCTATGTAAATAGTAATTGCCCTTAGGTTGTGATGTAAGACAATGTATAGGTCATTTATGGTGGGAAATATTAATTAAAATAAAGTGGCTTAAAGTTGAAAGGACATTGTGCAAGAGAGGAACATTCTGGTTAAGCATCAAATATGGCACTAGGAAAAGAAGGACAGTGTATCGTTGGGATTTTCAGGTTGCTTAATTTCTTGAGAAGATTTATATTATATTTATATTTTTTAGAATAAATTATCAACAAGGATATTATTTTCCTGATATGATTTTAATTATTTTTCTTACTAGTTAAGTTTTAGGAATATTCTGGAACCTAAGGTTTCCTACGGTTTTAGGATTTCTTGGTTTTCTATTTAAGCCAACTCATGACATTGTATTTATTAGTTTTATGATATTCTTAATCAAATTTAGAGATTTTCTCTATTTTCTAGTGGATTCTAGTCGCTCGTGGATTTCAATATATCTTTTCGGGTTTAGACGTTTATCAATCCGTAAATTTGTGCTTCTGTGTTGCATCAAGTGGTATCAGAGTGAGTCATCATTCAGAGCAAGGATTTTCCTTCTCAATGATGAGTGGCGATGAGAGGTACGCAAACCTCATCCATGATCGTGGGCAAATATCAAATATTAAAGGGGAACGCGCTGGTGGATTTGCCCAAAGCCAACCTCATGAATCCTATGTTGCAAATGTTCCATGCTTTATGGAAAGCGACAACATTGAAGGGTTTCTCGAACCGCTCCTGTTTCTCCGACCACCTGCTCATCAGTTGCAGCCACCTACTCATCCGCTTTGGCTACCTTCTCCATAGCATTAGCCTTTGCCTTATCAACTGCCCCCTCCTTGGCCTTATCTTCCTCGACTATAAGCTCATTAGCCACCATCTCACCAGCTACCTACTCCTCAGTAGTATCTATGTTCGTGACGGTATCATGCTCACCTCAAGTAGAAGACTCCTCCAAAAAACACTAATGGGGAACATGCTTTCTCTTTCTAGATACATTGGTTGAGGACTTATTCCTTTCATCGAGCTGATCAACCAAGTCGAGACCATGATGTTCCATCTCTCAAACGTCACCAGCTGGGGGCAAAACACCTTCCTGCTTTCATGGCCTGGCAAACTTTGGCCATGTTTGGTTCAAGATCAAGCATTTTACTGGTCTCTTCAAACTGCAAGTAGAATACAAGAGTCGCTTGGTCACAATAACTCACATATAATAGCTTTGGATATGTGATTAAAGTAGATCAGTGCAGTTCGAGACATACCATAGCAAGACATTGCACCAGTTGGCCAGCACAATAGCTACCCAGTCCAAGCTGACCAAAACACTGCATAGCTACTCCGCCAATCCCGTGATTGGCCCCCACATCATGAATGAATCTCAAAGGCCTCTTTTCGTTAGGAGCCCAACGCACAAAAGGAGCCCAACCTTTAGAAGGAAACATAAATGCAATTGAAAGCCCGATAAATACTTCTCATCTCCTTCACACCATATAAGCGTCATGCAGAAGTTAGGGGGCATTTGTAGGAACACATATTTCGGCAACTAGTAGATGGGCATCACATGGAAAATGAATATTCCTTCGGTCAACTGATTACCCTAGTTAAATCCTATTTATTAGGGAAATTATCTTTGATTTAAGATGGGAATGTCTCTCCAAAGCAAGGATGAGATTTCCATCAAATCTCCTTGATTAATTTCAATCTCTTATTTTTGTGTAAGAATAATCCTAACCAAATAAAGATTATTCTTCAAACCCAAGCCTACATGGAGCATTATAAATACATGGCTACATCACATATATGAGGTAATCTGATTTCTACCCTTGAAGCACCCTCTCTCTCACGCCACTCTCTTCTTCACCTCTCCGGCCACCCTCACACACGGCTCTGACCACCTGGCTCTTCCCATAAGAAAAGACCTATATCCTTTCTGTTATCTTAGTATCTTTTCAAGAATATTTAACTGACTTTGGCATCAGAGGGCCTTTGGCCAACACCCTCTGAGTGTGGTCTATTTACTTCAATATTTTTCGTAAAAATCGAGGAAGATGAGACAGAAGGAAACTCGAAACATGAAGAATCAACCCACAAACCCTATGCGAAAATTTGCTTAAACAAGAACATCAACATTTTGCACATGAACATGATATTTTGGAGGCATATAGCCACCAAACAATGCCGGTCCTGAACTTTTCAGGGCCCAGGGCAAAAGTAAAATTAGGCCCCTATATATATTTAAACTCAGTGGTGAACTCACTCTTATTTTTCAACCAAAATCTAACATGTCCAAATTAACTAAAAATTTAACATTCAAGCCAAATAAATTGTATCGATTCAAATTTCAATATATAAAAATTTAGAATAAAAGGCTACAATATATAAACAAGATAAATACATATAACAATTCAATAAGTTCTTTTTCATCCAGCAACATGCAACCAGCCAAATTTTTTTTTCTCTACATGCTGAATAGTCGAAGCAAAACAACATCAATCTATTTGAAATCCCTTTGGATCCTTAGCAATCAGCAAAACAAAAATGTCTTTACATCCTCAATAGCCAAAGCAAACTGCAGTAGCCTACTTGAATCTCTTTGCATCCTCAGCAACCAGCAAAACAAAAATGTATTTTCTTCCTTAATAGCCAAAGCAAACAACAGCAGCCTACTTGAAATCCCTTTGCATCCTTAGCAACCATCAAAATATCGACATCACCACCTGCAAGATAAGGTGAAAAACAACAAAATTACAACTAAAAAAGTATATTTAAATGATTTTCTTCTTGCATTTTGAGAAGCAAAATCATCAATGATGCTTTCAAATTCAAGCTTTTCTAACATATCCTTTTCAATGGATAAGATTGCTAGCCATTTAGCCTTTCTTGTAACATGGTAGACCTCAAGTAAGATTTCAATAATTTTAATTTAGAAAAGCTTCTTTATGCAGATGCTATAGTCACAGGTACAGTCAATAGTATTCTATAGGCAATCAAAACATTTGAAAAACAGTCCGTATCTTTTACAAACTTTACAATTTCAAGTACTGTG